GTTTTTCTTCCATTAACACATATTCGGTGTCTGTTGAGGCAGGGCAAGAGACCAAGAGACAAAATACAGTCCTGTCCCTGCCTGTAGGTACCAGTTGAGTAGGGAAGATAGAAAAATGAACAGATGATGGTGACTCCCTAAGGCAGCAGTCATAGGAGAGGAAGGCACAGGGGGCATTGGCTCCTGAGGCCAGCTTGTGGCAGTGTGTACACGCCACTCACCCACCCAGAGCTGCCTGGAGGAATGCACCTTGCCTCCCTTCCCCCAACACCATTGTGCAAGCCATGCCTCCACCCTCACACCACAGAGGAGTGGCTGATGGGATCAGTGGCAAATGCCCTCTTAGTTCTGCCAGATCACCTTTAGTCAGTCCCCTTCCTAAGAACGAGAGAGCACATCTGATGAACCATCAACCCATAGGAGAGCCCAGAAGTAAGAAGATGAGAATGAAGCAGGCTGAAGGAAGCAGCCCTGGGCAGCAGTGTGGCAAACTGGGGTTGCCCTCACTTCCTGGTCTTCCCCTGGTTCATATGAAATACCACACCAAAAATATACCGGCCTGCCCAAGGCGGGAGCCTCTCTCACCTGTCATACACAACTCCACTGATAGGAGGCAGCCAGTGGATGGTGAGGGACCTATGGGTCTGTCCGATGACCATGGGGGGGATGGGGATGGGGGTGGGCTTCCTGCTTTGACTCCATTGCTGATAGACAAGGTCCAAATAGCAATGCATTCGGGCCACCTGGTTAGGGGTGAAGCTGTCGGTGCAGTCATCATCTGCGGAGACAAAAAAGGAAGCACAAGAGACAGAGGCTTTAACCTGGGGAGTGGACCAAGGCAGGGATAACATCTGTCTTGTTCATGGCTGAGTTACCAGCCCCTAAACCAACACCTTGCACTTATTAGGCTCATTGAATAAATACATTCTGTTCCAGAAAGTTGCTAAGCTGGAATTGGGTAAGAGAAGACAAGAGATAGCACTTGCATATCTCTAAAGCAAGGCCATTATTTTAATGTTGGGCCGGTTCAGGTGAGACTCATGCCCTGGGATACAAGGTTGCTCTGGGCTAATAGTTGCTTACTCAGCAAACCACAAGATGGCAGTGTTTCAGCAGATGGCCTCTTCACTTGTGAACATGTGTGGAGTAGCAGACACCTGCTTTATTTATTACCCAGTCTCATTGGCAAAGGTTAGTAAGGATTCAGTGGAGAGGCTGAAGGAGAAAGAGTCAAAATGCCGAGCAGATAGCAGGGCTGGGAATGGTAGTGCTAGAGTGGAAAAGTCTCCCTATTAAGTACATTTTTCTATGTTTTTTTTTTTTAATTTTATGATAGCTGTGTACATTAATGCAATCATGGGGTACAGTGTGGTGTTTTCATATACAATTTGAAATATTTTCATCAAACTGGTTAACATAGGGTTGGAACGGGAGTTATTTTACCTTCAGGGACTTATCCGATGAAAATATACCAATCAGATTCTACCACATCCTGCTTCTTAAATGTTCCCTCTTCTCACTCCAGAGTTGGAAGCTAAAGAGCTTTGCCCTTTACCCCTCATCTCTGGTCTCTCTTCCCTGATGGGAGAGGCAGAGGAGCTGTTGTTCATGAATTTGATTCTCCTGAATTATTTACTACAATGAAACTCAAGTAGAAACATCTTGATAGGTTGATAGACAGAACCAACTCATCACTCTTCCCTTCAACGAAATGAACAATATATGGTGGTTTCATTTCTTTTGGATAGTTCTAAAAGAATTGCCAGACAAGCCCTGAAACTTATAGAAACATTATCCTCCTTCCACACTGGAGTAGGTCATGGAATCAAATCAGTCCTTAATTTTTAGGGAAAAATTTAAGTCCATCATCAGGAGACTGGTTAGTATTATGTTTTGCCAGAAATGAGGATGGTCTGAGAGACGGGAAAAAAAGGATAAGACAGAAGCTGATCTCAGGAAAGACAAGACCAGAAAATACAGTTGTTCCCAGGGCCTAGAAGGTATCATTTGTAAAATGAGATGGTACCACTGAGGAGTAAGGGATCGGCAGGCTCCGAATCAGTGCTTGGCTAGTGATGGATGAAGAGAATCTGACTTTTTCAAAACAACATAAAATAAAAGATAATCCTGAGCTTAAATTAATCAAACCTCCTGTCAAGCACTGCAAAGACAATACGAAGAGTCACTTTGACCCAGAAACCTCTTTTCCCCATTACTATTGGACTGTCCTTCGGTGTAAAAGCCTAAGAATGTGGGTGTAACCATGTTCTAGAAGTCAAAGAGATCTTAAGAGGCCTTTTGGCTTTTCCCTCTTTTACTATGAAAGATAGAAGTGTATTTTTTTAGATCTTTAGTAGAGGAGAATTCTGCCAACAAGGCCCCTTAATATTCTGCTATTTATTCATATTCTTCAAAGACATGAAAAAAAGAATACATACTTCAACTCTGACATTTACTCCAGTTCCCATGTCCCTATCTGCCCCACCCCCTCCTCCAAAGGGCCCCCATGTATTCTTAATAGAAAACAAAACATTACGACTGGTGTGATACCTGTGTAGCTCATGTAGTTACTGAATGGAGCCCCTGGGAAGTGGGTGAAGCCACAGGTGTCATTGGTGGGCTCTGGGTCCCGGCACAGCTTACTCTTGGGAGTGGGGGGAGTGTCAGCACAGAGGTCTCCCGTTTCCATGGATGGCACCGTCTCCCTGCAGGGGTCATCACAGGATTCTCTTTCGCTGACCCCTTTGAAGACATGGTAGAGTCCCAGGACATGCCCCACCTCGTGGATCATGATGTTGGTGTGGCCAGGCATGCCGTAATAGGCTGGGTTGAGGACAACGCCACCTGCAAGGAAGGTTGTGAAAAGGCCTCTGAGTGTAGGATGAAGAGCAGCTCTCCAATTCTGGTAAGCACCAAATATTCCATTTTAGCCTCTAAGGAGACACTTTATAACTTCTAGCAGCATAAAGTCACTGCTCTTTGCTCTTGCTGCAAGCACTCTCTAAATCAGTGAGCGTTTCTGTAACCTGTATCACCGGTGAATGCAATACTAGGGGCCAGGGACATCAAGGTGAACAAAATGACATGAGAGAGGGGCAGGATTCTCACCCTCAGGTACATATTAAAATCACCTGTGGGGAGTTAAAAAATACAGAAGTACAAATACTAAACCAGATGAATTTGAATCAAAATATTTGAGGATGGGGTTTATGCATCAGTTTTGGGGGGTTGTTTGTTTATTTGTTTATTTAAAGACAGTCTTATTCCATTGCCCTCGGGTTGAGTGTCATGGCATCATCATAACTCACAGCAACCTCAAACTCCTGGGCTCAAGTGATCCTCTTGCCTTAGCCTCCCAAATATCTGGGACTACAGGCACCTGCCACAATACCTGACTAGTTTTTCTATTTTTAGTAGAGATGGGGTCTCACCTTTCTCAGGCTGTTCCTGAACTCCTGAGCTCAAGCAATTCACCTGCCTCAGTCTCCCAGAGTGGTAGGATTATAAACGTGAGCCACCACCCTCAGTCTAGCATCAGTATTTTTTAATAACTTCCCAGGTCGAGAACCATTGGCGTAGGCAGAAAGCACACAGAGTTTAGAAGAGTGGGGTTTTTTTAATTTAATTTAATTTTATTTTTTTGCAGTTTTTGGCTGGGGCTAGGTTTGAACCTGCCACCTCCAGCATATGGGGCCAGTGCCCTACTCCTTTGAGCCACAGGCCTAGAACAGTGTTTTTCAACCTTTTTTTAATCTCATGGCACACTGAGCCTATAGTTAAACTTTCACAGCACACATGAATTATGTTGATCAAAAAAGAAAAAGAGTAAAGAAAGAATATACTTACTGTGCTTTGAACTTCTTTCACAAATAATTTCATTAAGAATCTTTAAAATTTTTCACAGCACACCTGAGATTTTCCATGGCATACTAGTGTGCCACAGCACCCCAGTTGAAAATCACTGGTTCAGAGGCCAAGAGATCTGACTTGGACTCCTGACCGTGCTCA